ATATGATATATATGATCCATGGCTCCCCTTCCTTTTAGACATCTTGTCCACCAAACCCCACCAAACAAGGCCCTCTTTTTCTTTTCAAAAGACATCTCCAACCAATTCATAAAGATGGAAATCAGAATTGAGGAAATCAAGGTACAAGTGGGCTGAAATGATGGTTCCCGGAGAGCATTCTGCCCAATTTTTGAGCGCTCAAAGTAAGCCCTTCAAGTGCTCGAAGTTTCATCAGCTTGGGCTCTTCCACTTGATCTGCTTTGCACTACTTTGGTAAAACAGCCATAACTTTTTGCTCCAAACTTTAAATAATGAACCGTTTGATGATTTGGGAAGCTAATTCAAAGCTCTAAAAACGTCATGTTTTAATAGAAGTCCAGTTCTGGAGTTTGTTAGGTTAAAAATGGCCAGAAAAGTCAAACTCCACTGCTGCCAGAACTTCAGCATTGAGCACATTGTTATTCAAAGATTCAACAAAACATCATTCTTACAAGTTACAATGAGACATGAATTCTCAACTTTCTATGTTGAAACGTGAGTCGGAAACACAGGGCTTTATCCATTGATACAAAGTTTTATGGCTCATTGCACACTTTTTTTTTTTATTTTTTATTTTTTATAAACATAGATTATTGAACTTGAAAAATTTGAACTCTGTAGGGGATGTATCCCACATTGACATATGGCATCACAGGGCATAGACAAGTACACAGTTATCACGCACGTCTCGGCACCCTGCTTTTGCTCGAGGGCAAACATCATGGCTGAGGCGTTTCGAAGACGAGCCTGATCACCCACGTGTTCCCCTGCAACAATTATAATCACATTTATTGCTTCCCAGCTACCGCCGCTTTCGAATGCTTGTGCATTCAATGCGACAGTAGCATCTTTTGTAGAAAAGGACCATCATAGCCCTATATGACTTTATAGAGTCATCATGACTATCCTAGCGGATCTAGCAGTAAAGCTCTCGAGAGCCAGGAAGTGAAAAAGGGAAGAGGCTATAAAAAGGGAGGACTCATGCCAAGAGAAAGGAGGCAAGATTATTCATCTTCCATTTTCACTATGTATTTTGATATCATCACTTTTATTGTATTTAATCCAAGTATAAATATAAAGAACCCTTACATTTTGGCGACTTCGCTGGGGATATCAGGGCAGAGTTGATGGTTTTGAATAACCAACCAGCACACCCAGAACACTCGGGGCAGGGCGAGAACCTTGCCCCCCAACGTGCAGAAACTGCTACAAGCAGATTCCAGTAGACCTACACTTACCCATATGTGTGCATCACACAATCTATGCAGCAAACCCAACATGAGTTAGGGGAACATTTGGCAAACATATAGGCCATGTTACTTCAGGACTTACAGGCAAAGCTGCAAAGAGAGTCAGAACTCAATCCAGCTCGTCTTTTCTAACATAGCCTATGCAATCAGCCCAACTAGTGTTTCGAATGTTGTGGACCCTTTTTTGCCTCCCGCCCTTGCGCAGGTCAAGGTTCAGAGCCGAGTACAACCACCTAACCTGCTATGCAAGGAAGACGGCTTGGTCACCGAGTCTCGACTTCGAGATTTCTTTCTCAAGAACTCAACTGGCACAGCTCTAGCGTTGGTCTTTCGTAGTAAGCCACCATATCCGTGTAGTATAGCACTGACGCCTTATCTTAATGGATACCTCGTGCCTAAATTCCCCAAATATAATGGTGTCTCAGAAGACCTTGAGGAGCATGTTACGCGTTTTGTTGAAGCATTTCGGGGGCATAGCCATGATACTTTACTACGATTGCGGGAGATCTCCAAATCCCTTACCGAGCTGGCATATCGTTGGTACAAAAGGCTCAAGCAGGATTTTATCACCACTTGGGAACAGTTAGTGGACAAATTATTGGTCAAATTTCGTGAGGCTGAGGAGCGAATAACCACTATCTCTTTGACAAAAGAGACTCAATCCCCTAGAGAATCACCCCTCCAGTTTGTCTCGCGTTTTTAGACATGCACTAAAGGTTGCTTTGAGAGGAGTAGCGAGAAGGACCGTATGGATATTTATATTAAAGGTTTAGACATAAATTATACAATAAACTTATGCAACTTGAGGCTCGATAACTTCACCGATCTTATCCTGGCTGTCCGCAACCTGGTGCGTGACTTCCCGAAACCTATTCAGATGAATGTTGGGCGTACTACTTCCCGTAAACCAGAGCCGCCACCACTACAAGTCGAGCGTTCCAAGAAACGTAAAGACATTGAGCCAATGGAGCATACGCCACGACATGATGATTTACCTCCTTTTCCGGTTCGCATGAACGAGGTGGCTAACACTCTCAAGAAGTGGGTGCAACATGGTGAGGTCGTTCTCCCAGTACCTCGCCAACCACCGACTGTACCATGACCCTGCTAACCCAAACTTCTGCATCTACCAGCAGATGGTCAATCATCCAACTGCTGAGTGCAGGACATTTAAGTGTTTGTTTCAAACAAAGATAGCCAGCGGAGAACTCAAAGCCACCAACCCTGCTGACGTTCGAAAAGTTCCTTATCTCCGCCACCCTGGCGCCACAGTAAAGGTCACTTGCTATGATGAATTCAACAAGTTCTCTCGAACCTTATCAGTCATTGAGGACAAGCCTGTCGCCCTCGAACAATGTGCAACCTCATCTTAGTTAAGACCAGACATGGCTAAACCTCAGGGCATTGTCATTTCTTTTGATGAAACTGATCGAAAGGCATCTTCGAATCAAATTGCCCGTTGTATGTTAGAGGCCTTTTAAATGGTGTCGAGTTCAAGCACACTTTTCTTGATAACGGCTCCTCCATTAACGTCATTTCTAGCCGTGTTTCAAAAAGCTCACATCCCATATGCCCACTTGATCAAAGAGTCCATTGAGATTGCCAGTTTTGGCAACAACCTGCGGTATACCCTGGCCATGTCACGGCAGATCTCGCTGTTAGTAAATTCTGAGCTTATGCTCGCTTCCATGTCATTGATGCGGACACATCTTACCATATTCTGCTCAGTCAATCTTGGATGCATCATTTTGGAATTGTCCCTTCCACCTATCATCAATGTTTCAAAGGCATACTTGGCAACCGCATCATAATGGTTCCATGCTCCAAGTGACCCTTCGCAAAGGCAGAAACCCACTTTATTGAGTCACTCTTCTTCGATGAGCTCCCAGATGATGAGCCGGAACAGACCCATATTATCGCTACTTCATTGCCAACCTGGGACCAGGTTTAGAAAAACATTTTTTCGCCTCCTCGCCCTTACAAGATGCGTTCCCGCTATGGCCGTTCTCGCCCTCACAAGTGCCAGCGCGTCCAATTGGCCCATGGTAAGCATGTCTACCGCTTATGATGGTGTACGGACTCGATCTGTCACACTGCACAGAGCGAGTCCCGTGTCTGTGACCTTGAACACCAATCTTTCACTGACCTAGACGAGGTTAACCTCACCCCCGAGGATTGTGATGTTCTAAATTTTCACAAACCCGGATAGTCAATGTGACCCGTAAGTTGACCCGATAACGGATCCAGAATGCAGAAGTGAAACAAAAACAAATGCGGAAACAAAAAGGTGAAAATAAAAGCTTATATGGGTGTGGAGATGCAGAATATAAGCTTTTATTTTCATAACACCAATTATGAAAAAAAAAAAATTGAATTAATACAACACCAATTATGAAAAAAAAGAAGGTTAAAACAGACCAAGTATGTCCCCGAGGGCAAAATGGTCATTCCATATGTAAACAAAGTTTCAAGTGATGTACGTCATCCCTAAGACACAAACATGGTTTCCCATGAAGCCACGGAACATAAAAGAAACAAAATGAGGAAGCGAAGTTAAAAAAAAAATAAATGGACAAGTTTAGACGTAGGGGCAAAATCATAATTTCAAGAAAGTTATGGGTTCTACCGTGCACACCATTGGATAGACAACAAAAAATTAATAAAGATAGACTCAAGAATTACTTGATTCGGAGTTCGGATGGAGGAAAAAAGTTGAAAAAAAGTTTTGACGTCGTCGCGGCCGTAAATAGTGTTTTGACAACATGAATAGTGTTTTGATAGTAGTGAATAGTGCTGGGAAGAAAAAAAAAATGCTGAAACATTGTGCCGTTTTGAGGCACGAAACGACGTTTTTTTGGAAAAACATGAATAAGAAACCCCCCTTAAAATAATTTTTCCAAGTTGACTATGTTGAAAGAAAAATTTATTTTTGACGTAAAATTCTCAAAATACCCTTGAGATCAGACTTTTTTTCTTGAAGAAGTGCGCGCACCAGAAAATCAAATTTGATGCGAGGTTTTCGAGATTGAGACGATATTTTTTTTAAAAAAAGTTGTGAAGATACCCTCCCTAAAATAACATTTTCTAAGTGACCACATTAAGACCGGAATTTATTTTTGAAGGAAAATCCCCAAAATGCCCTTAAACCAGATTTTGCGAAAAATGTAAAAATGAGAGCAACTAAGTGTTCAAATGACTAAATACGAAGTTATGTGCTAAAACGATTATGCATGCAAACATTATAAGTGTTTTAAAGTGTGCGGGAACGGTCCGTGACCCTCAAATATGCCCGATGCAAAATCTGACATATTTAACCTCAAAAATGCAAGAAAATAGGATAAAAATGGAAATCTTGAGGCATACATCTATATCATACAACCGTGATATTTTGTGCCAAGTGAGCATTCTCTCAAATGTAATATACATTATAAAATGCGTCCCAATGGCCTATGGCCTCAAAATACACTATATGCAAAATATAACATGCTTGAACCCCAAAATCATGAAAAATACCCTCTTTAATCACTTTGTGAAGTCACTCATCATAAATGCATTCAAAGAATTGTTTTACCCTTGGCCACACGTCATATATAACAAAAGAACACTAGGGGAAGTGATACAATGCAATTCCCACCAACCAAAATGAAATGGACATGCTAAAGCTTCGCATTTTCCAATTTTTCTCATTTTTAAGCATATAACCAAGTAGCATAAAAGTAAACTATAAGCTTCTAGGCTCTTGGTCTCATCACATATATGTCAAATAAGTCTCAAAGGATGCATTTAGGTACTTATTACATATCCCAAATAGAAGTTACAAGTTTTGACATATTTAACCCAAAATAAAGCAAAATTCATGCTAGTAAGTGCATGTAAGGAAATACGCCAACTCATTAAGCCACAAGCAAGATTCAAGGATGTTGTGCATCCCTAAAGCACAGTTCCTTACCTGAAAAATATCCCAAATAATGAGGGTGAGTAAACAAGTTACTCGTAGGAAATGAACATGCGTATAACCTAAAGTTTTGGAAGTCTTTATAAGTTGATATAAATCTATCCACGTGATTCATGCCACTTAACGTCTATGTCCAAGGTGAGACTAAGGGATCATCCTAAGCTACATTAGAATATCCACATTATAAACCACAATAAATAAGCATTTAAACAACATTGAAACATCAAATGCCAAATAACAAAATATAAATTCACAAAGTAACAACTTGGAATTTAAAATACGAAATCAAACAAACGGAAACTTGGACGTCACGCCGGCGCAAAACCGGACACATAAGGCCTCTTTTGGGTTACTAGCCCTTGCGAACCTTTCCCTAAGAGTGCACTATAAATAGAGGGCTCCTTTTGTCCCCGGTACTAGAGCCGAGCGCTAGCCATAATCATGCTTACGACATCCCTAAGCTTCCAAAATCAACAAATAGTGCACAACAATTATATACACATATATTAAATGCACTTAATCAAATATCCTACACAATCAAATTGTGAAAACACACAAGACATGCCCTAGGTCCTCAACTACCATGGCATTTAACATATTAGGCCTTGAAAATATCAAAGGTGCAAATAAATCATAATTTCATTAAATGGAAGCTAATAAAATAAAAATTAATTAATTCCTTTAGATTGCAAAATATCACCAAATGGCATGGAATCAACACATAATAAGCAACAAACAATGAATAACTCACATATCAAATCAAAAGTCTAATTAAGCCACTAAAACACTTAATTAATTTTTAATTAACTTAATTAATTAAAAATCTCTAGATTTCAAAATTTATCCAAAAATTCCAAAAATAATATATGATGAACTACAAGTCATGGGCTCTCCAAATATCATATTATTAATTAAATCCAAGAATGCTTTAACTATGAAATTAAATCATCATTTAATTAAAATAAAAAACTATTTATAGATCTAAACTTTAAACATACATATAACTTATATAAACATCAAAAACATGTAAAACACTAAATTATAAACATGAAACACCCCCTACCTCACTTGAGATGAAAATCTCAAATCCCACCAAAATCAAACTCCACAAAATGCGAAGAAACTTTGGAGTTTTGGTGGGGACAAAAAGGAGAGCAAGAAATCTTCAGGAGACAAGACCCAAATCCAAGCTTGAACTCCCTGCCCAAAAATCAAAGTGCTGCAAATCGTAAACCGATCAGATAGAAATGATCGCGTCGTCGAGGAGATCATTTATGTATAAACCACGAAGATGAAAATCGAAGAGGAAATAGATAAAAAGAGGAGAGAGAAGAGGGTATCCTCCAAGCTCTAGAAATGGTGGCTACTATTGCTACTTTAGGAAATGAAAAGTTAGAGATATTTTCTCTCTCATCCACTAATCCTAAATAGGTCAAAAAGGTGTCTCGAACAGTCCGAAACGGGCCCCGTCCTGGTCCAAAAAGTGAAATCAGTGAAGACGCGCTCAAATGCAGATGGTCTATGAATGAAAACATTTTAAAATGGAATTCTAAGGTCAACGGAATAAACAGGGTCAAAAACCGAGTCCCGAGCGAGGAGATATGCCATGGACAAGTTTGATGACTAACGGGATTCAAAAATTCAAAATAAATGAAAAATCCAAAAAATATTCCGGAAGTGCCAAAGTCCATAAAAAATGAAAATAAATCCCTCATAAAAGTTTGAACCCAAAACAAGAAACTTTTCTGAAATATTTTCGTAATTACACAAATGCCCCCTACTGAATAACCCAAAAAGTGCATTTCTTAGAAATCCCAAAATAAAGTGCCATTCAAAAGATACATTTAAAATAAATTTATTTACAAAATTTTATCAAAACATAATTACAAAAAATACCCCAAGTAAAGAAAACAATTTTCAAGAATCTTTGCATTTATATCCTTACGGGCAAAAGTAAACATCTAGCATGCTTTTCTACAAAAGTAAAAATGTGGATCATATGGAAATAAAGTAAAATGAATATATGCAGGGTCAGAATCAAATTCGAGCACGACCCAATAGGTTACACAAAATGAAAAGATAGTGAAAAAGTGACGGGAAAAAAAAAACTCGGAAAAAGAAATCAACGGAAAAAATTTATCCTGTAAAATTTGAGGGAATGAAAAGAAGGAAAATGACCGGGTCATTACAACCTACCCTCCTTAAAGAGATTTCATCCACGAAATCTGGCACATTCCATATAGAACAAAATCAGGACCAAGCACCCAGTCACATCTAGAAACACATCCTCAAGTCTCAAAGGACAACTCCAAATATTTTATGATCAAACGAAACGGCATGAAACCACCGAATCGTGAAACAATCTCTAAATGAATCTGCATACAAATCCAATAACCATCACCAAAAAAACTTCGAAAAAACAACACATCGAATCGAGGTACCTAGCTAAAGGCAACATGGCAGAATGAATAGCGACCAGAACCCGCCCACAATGTACTCAAGTGCGTGGTAACAACGACATCACCTAGTGGCCGCCCACACTTACTCGTCAGTAAGGTAGCATTGACGGCAACTAGTACTTGTCCACAACACACAACTTGGTACGGTAACATGCCAGTATAAGGCACTAGCTCACAATTTGCCTCAACTTCCCGATACAAATAGTATCAATGCCGAAAATGATCATTACCAAAAGCATCATGGGAACCAGGCATTTTATTAGAGTTGGGGTAGCTAATCCCAAAACTCTGACAACAATGTTATAGGCACCACTACGCTTAAGGCCTTAAATCCTCAATACTCAGAAAATGACAACTCCAAATCATTGAATCTCTAAATTAAGTCACTTTTATCAAATCACAGACTCCTCAATACACCAGTATTAAACAACTCCCAAGCACGAATCCAAAGCCTGACAAGTCTGTGTCCTCAAATTGAAATGGATTGAACTTCACAAAATCAGAAAGGTATTGATATCTTGTAATACCCCTAATTTCAAAAGGATAGTCCTGGTATTTAATAAATTGTTTAAATTGCATTTATTTTTGTTTAATTGGTTATTTGTTAATTTAATTGAATTATGTGATTTATTTATGTGTTTTTATTTGTTTTATTTATTTTATTTAACTGATATTTGTTTAATTATGTGCTTATGTGGCTATTTTAATAATTGATAATTATTGGTTTAAATTAACTGTTGTTTGTGTTTTTATTTCTATATATGTTATTGTAGGGTTGTATTATTTGTTATTTGAAATTCTCACATGTGTAATTAGATTCAATGAGTAACAGTTTTAATATTAAATTGGAGTTTAATTCCTTTTAGATTACACGAATGGGCCGACTAGGGTTTAATTTACATTAGGGTTCTGTCTCTAATCATACAAGGATTAGGGTTTTGGTTCAAGCCTATATATATAAAGAGCAACAAGTCTACTACGGTTAGAGAAAACCCTATTCACGTACTTAGTATATTGAGAGAAAACAGGGTAAGGTTGTGAGAGGCAGAGAGGAACCGAGAGTGGAACTTGGGTGATTAACAAAGCAGTTCAAAGAGGAAGGAACGTGGTTGCTTTTGGGTGGAACCAAAGCACCGGTGGTGTAGAACTACAGCCTAGTACATTGACGAAAAATTCAGAGACATTGGTTTAGAGTTTCAAAACTGAAACTCACGGCAAGTTTCTGTTCTTCTCTTTCCCTTTAATCTGTGTTCTGTGCATACCTAGCTAGACCCCTGGCTAGACTCCAGGGATTTAACTAATGATAAAATGAAGTAACCATGCATGCTTAACGGACTGAAACTAAGAGTTTTATGGTTATATATACTTGTGTGTGATTTCATTATTTTCTTGGATCTTTATGTATGATTTGTAGTTTAACTTGAATCTTTGCCTACTAAAATACTTACAATAATTTAGTATGGACATCTGGGACTTAGGTTGAAGCTTAGGGGCCTTAACAATGAAGTTTTAGGATTTACAAAGGCTGAACGGACGAAGAAGAAGACCCCAGCAGTAACTGAGGCACCTTAGTTCGCAACTGAGCCCCTCAGTTAGCAATTCAGCCCCCTCAGTTAGCAACTGAGTCCCCTTGGTTAGCAATTCAGCCCCCTCAGTTAGCAACTGAGGCTGCTCAATTGTAACTTAGCTTGCTCAGTTGGGGTTTTGGTTTTTAATGCCCAGATTTGTTTTAAAACCTATTTAAATTAAATTTAATGGGTTAAATGGACTAGGGAAGGTTCTAGAGTGTATAATACATCTCTTAAGCCTAATAAATTAGACAAAATAGATTTGGAAATAATTTTTATAAATTATTTAAAGGATGAATCAGTATAAAAGCATACAACTTAGCATACTAATAATAGATGGAAAGAACCAAATTGCTTAGTTAAATTTTGGGCAACATAATGAATTGTAATAAGATTATAAATCTTATATTGGATGCGTGATAAATCATTTTATGTTTAAAGTTTGAACTATGCATGCTCTGGATGTTAATTGTTGGAATATCAAATTCTCTAGTGCAATTACATGAATTAATGTTGGGATTTATATTGTTGAAATTTTAAATACTTTTCTGTAATGATATGGATAATGGTTTGGATTGTAAATTACTAGCTTGTTATGCATGTGTTGTAATTTACAAGGATATGGAGGGTTGTATGCACCGGTATGGGACGGTGACATACTAGGGATGGTTTAGCTCAAAACGCTTAAACCTAACCTATCGGATTAAAGGAATGGATTGAAAAATATTGAATCTTAATTGTGACTAAGTCAGATCAACTACGACTAAGTTGAATGGCTTTCTAGATTAATGGATGGTTGTTAAGTCATATCAATTGAATAAGTTGAGTGACTAACTAGTTTGTATATTGTATGTTATCTTAATAAGTATTTGAATGACATATCCTAGTTTTGGACGGACTTTATATATATGTTTATGGTACCACGAGATAAGCTTGAGTCTCAGACTCGTTGGTTAGGGTGCGTATA